CATTTCGCAGCGAAGCTGCACTGCACATGGGGCACGGCTTGCAATGCGGGCAATAGCAAGGACAGTTTGGCTGGGTGGCTCGGCGGCTGCTTCACAGGAACAGGCTCCATCATTCCCATCGCTATCCGCCGTGTCAGCGAGTGGTGGCCGGCTGACGGAGTTGTGCCGCCAGTCAAGTGCCCCACGGAGCGGGTGATCACCTCCGAAACGCGACATGGCGAGAGAAGATGAGAGAAAGCGAAGGGAGCAAAGAATGCTGGATGGCAAGAAGCGGCGCGGGAGAGAAGGCAAGCTTGCTCAACACAACATGCCAACAGCCTGCAACTATTCAAGAACGGACAAAGCTGCAAGCCGGCTTCGGGAACCTCGACCGTTGGCAGCGGTGCCGGGTCGGGCCTGGGCGGAGCAATCAGTGTGCAGAAGTTGAGCTGGCCGGAGCGTCAGGCGGTGCAGAGCGGGACCAAGCCGGAGTCCTGGGTGACAGGCGGAGGACCGAGACCAGAGCCAGGGCAGGCCTCCTCGTCGAGGAGCTGCCGTGTCTCCTGGCCCGGAACGAAAAACAAACAGAAATAAGCTCAACCACCCGGGCCTCGAACGGGCAGGGTGGAAGAATCCGAAATGGACCTCGCCCTCCTACGGCCCCGTCTTCGGCGGCGACGGGGCGGAGAAGAGGAGTCGGACCTAGATGGCATCAAGCCGCAAGACAGTCTAAGTCAAAATCCTGGTGAACCGATCGCGGACCGGCACACTTAAGTCGAACGGCTGCGGTCACGACTTGCCGTTGCGACATAGCAGAAAAACACATTACGACCCGTCGAGAAACCAGCCGTAAGGCCCGGTAGGCTACGCCACCGCTCTATCCCGAAGGCAGAGCCGACGGGAGACGCTAGGCCAGGCCTCTTTTGCGCTACTACAGCTAGCGCCGTGGGCCCGACCTGCAGGCTAGTTTCAGCTAGCGTCTGCCAGGGGGCAGCTACGCGCCAGACAGAAGCGGACTGGAGAGAAAGACGGGGGGCTACTCCAGGGGTTTCCATCATAAGATAAAATCTGCAGCCGTCGGTAGGCGAAGATTCCTGTTCGACTGTCTCCTGCTCTCGTGACAACTGGTGTGTGTCTTTTTGGTGGCTGCTCATCAAGCACATTTTTTGTCAACATCTGTCAAATGTTTGGTTAGCTACCTGTATTTAGCTTCAACTACATGGTACTTGCTTTGTCCTGGCAACGAAGGTCAGGGCAAATAACCAAGGAAGTTGGAGCGGAGCTGCAACATGCTGCGAGGTCTAGTCTATAATGTCTCTCCACACAGTCTAACTTCTGTTGCATGAAAAGCACAGTATAACACGAAGTGAACTTGACGTGCAGTTCGATTATCTTCGAACCCGTGCCTTTGCCGCACCATGGCAGGAGCCAAACTGGCGCTCAGAGGCGGCACGCTCGTGCGAGAGCATCCTGCCCATCTCTCTTTTTCTCTCTTATTCTTCTTCTTCTTCTTCTTATTCTCTCATGCTCTCGTCTTCTTCTCTCTCGCTCTCTTGCTCTCTCGCTGTCGCGTTTGACAACCGCGGCTCAGCTTCACAATGAAACGCAGGCGGAACTCCATACCGAAAGTATGCTACGAGGCTTCACAGGCTTTGCTCTGAACCTGGTGCGTGTGAACCCGCCAGCAAAATGCCGCTTCACCACTACGCCACTACGCAAGACTGCAAAACTATGACTCGGTAGAGCGGTGAAGTTCATTGCCCCCATCCGCCTCGAAACCACAACTTCGACGTACATTAGCTTGGATCCCCACTGCGTTCAATTGACCACCGCTCTTCTTCAGCACAGTCCAAAAAGTACAGGACGCCAGGTTTAAAGAGGTCGGCGTGGTAGCTTTCAAGACGTGGATGTGCATAGCGAGCATCCAGCTGCTCCTTACTCCCTATTTACTCATACTCGACTGACTGAATGCTGGAAACAACAAACACCATTCTACGGAAGGCTCTGCTCTTTCCTCCCAGCGCATGCGAGGGAGACTCCAAACCCTGCGCTGACGCCCCATGCGATGGTCCAACGAGCAGCCCTCGAACCCCCAGCGCGTCTCCATGAGGCCCCCAATAGACTGTCACCCATATAACTTATACCATACTTATGACTTATAACTACAATCCGCAGACTCCGGCATCGTCTTGCGATGGTAGAAGCGCGCAAGACACAAGCAAGTGCCCTTCTTCCACACACCGAAGGAAGGCAGTTTTTGCCCCACCCCCCGTCGCGTGCGCGCCCATGTGCTGTGGCCTCAAGGCTCGGTCGGAAAAGTACAAATTATCGGATCTCCCTCCCGGTCCCTCTGGGGCATAGGGGACGACGGGTCGTCCGGGCTTCAAGCCTGCCCGGGACTTTACTGGCACATTGTGAAAAGCGAGAAGTCTGGGGCTGAGGCCATAGAGCAAATACTCTTTCTTTCGCCAGGGCTATGCAGGAGGGTAGCCCCCTCCCGCTGCGCGCAAATACTCTTTTCTTTCGCCAGGTATGATGCAGGGGAGAAGCCCCCTTACATCGCGCGCTAATGCGCCGCCGACGGTTGCGGGTGGCAATGTGTTACAAAGATGCATGCAGGCAGAGGCAGACTGCGAACCACAACAAGGACAACACATGTACACACATGGATGTGGGGGGAGTGCCCCCCGTCTGCTGCCTTCACCACTGAGCACACGGGATCCATACATGGTATTCACGCTCATCAAAGACTCTCTCGCCCTCTCTGGCTTTCTTTCACTCTTTCTTTTTCAGGCGCAAGCCCGACGGGTGCCTGTGAGTCCATCCACGTCTCTCCGTCTCTCTGTCTCTGTCGATCAGCAAGATGCTGAATGCTGCTGCCTGAGGCCCGTGTTGTTGGTGCATCTAGCAGCATCGACATGGCTGTTGGATGCTGCAGGAGGCTCACACGGAGATCGGCCGAATGGCTTTGACTTAGTGCAACTTGTCGACGGGCAGCAGCAGCGACAACCACAACAACAACGACAACGTTCAGCTTTGCAAGGCTTCAAGAGATCCTCGGACCGTCAGCAGGTAGGCTAGGGACGTTTACGGCTAAATCTGGTTGCCTGGAGCATCGGTGGTTCTGTGCTTGGCTCTGCATGCTTGATGTTCAACGCAGCACTCCCTGATTCTAGCACAAGAAGATGCAAGAAGTCTACTTGAAGTCGGCAGATGCTATGCAGCCGCTCGCGCACGTGTCTCTTTCTTTCCTCTGCTCACAAGCTGCTCAACAACTGTATGTGCTTTGTCAAAGCTACCTCGCATGAGACCATTTTGCAGCGGTGCCGGCTTGACTCACACGCTCAGTGGGCCGACCTGAATCATGGCTTTTGAGCCTGATACTGATCTGCCATGCCCGAACTACTTTGACTGAATGCATGGTCCGGCCTCCCCTGTTGAGCTTGTCTTACCATTTCCTCAAACTTGGCTTTCTCCTGTTTGCAGGCCCCACACGTTGCGTAATCCCTTGCATGGGACTACGGAACGGAGCTCTGCAATCGGACAACGTGCCGCGAGAATGCCTTTTCCAGCGTGTTGAAGCGGTTGAGAATTTCCTCCAGCATTCCAAACGGACTGTTGTGAACATGGAGAAGGGCACAATCGCAGTACATGACCTGTTGCGCAGGTATATGCCTTGGCCTCCTTTTTTATTGTCGCATGGCTTTTCCAACCACCATGAATCTCATGTTATGGCACTTGGTCCTCCACCGATTCACCTCAACGGCCGTAAATGTGCCACGACAAGTCACTGAAGGGAAGGTTCTGCTTCTCAGGCCTTGATCAGCCTCCTGATCAGCCTGGCAGCAGTTTAACTACAGTCAGACGAGAGAGCCAGGGCACTACCACTCCTTGCCGCACATACAGCCGGCTGCTCAAGAGAAAGGAGTTGAAGCTGGTGTTGGGCTGAGGTTGTGGTTGTATGATGTTGTATGGGTCGGATGGGAGGGGCCGAGGCCTGGGGTTGTTTCTTGGGTGCAGCGGTTCCTTGGTGATGTTGATGGAGCCTTTCGTTGCGGGCTGCATCCGAACTAATCCCTCCGCAGCTGTGCATACTTGCCTGGTCTACACAAGAAAACGTGAACAGAACACCACCTTCTGCTGCAAGCCGAACTGGAGCCTGCATAAAGTTCTCGTTGAGGATGCCAGCGCTCTCCATCGCCTTGAACAAACAAAACGATGACCAGGCGACCATTTCTGCAGCTGACTTGCTACGCTGCCGCTATTCACATTAAAAGCTGCACCTCAATCTGCCGCAAGGCACGCTCCATCTCATCCGCCTGTCAGGACGTGAAATACTCTCGAATGCTTGAGCCCTGCATGGCAGTGTGTGCATTCATAGGCAAGTAGAAGCTGTGCTGTAACTTCAAGACCAGAGAGCCTGTTTGAGCAAGGCCATGATCTGCTGCTCGCTTCCCGGGGCCTTCAGAAAAGTTGCAATCCAAACTCGACAAGCCTCATAACGGACCTGAATACTTACAAGCTTCCGCTGCCTCTGGATCGAAGGGCCTTGCCCCGCCTTGAGGAACCTGGAAGTGCAACGCAACGGCTGCCCGACTAGGGTATGCTGCGCTTTAGCATAGTGTAGGCTCTCGATGCAAAAGGGCTATTGACTAGAGTCCAGCAATGTATCCTCCGTTCGCAAACACCTACTTGCAGGAGACCCGTAAAAAACGCTCGGAGAACCTCTGCGTCTTCTTCTTCTTCGTCATCCTCTTCCTCCTCTGCTTCGTCAGCCTCGTCGTCATTGTCGCCCTCTTCAGCCTCAATCTTGGCTTCACTGCAGATCGCATGTCAAAGACAGGCATGTGCTGCACGGCGTAATCCCTCTCACAAGTTTGTTCAGCAAGAGCTACTATATCCTCAAACATGCTGGCAAGACCTTATTCATAAACTACCGCACAAAAAGCTATTGAAGCAAGGCAGAGCAAATGATAATGCACATGCCACGTAGTGTTGCTTCACCTTCGCAGCACTTCTTCGGCTTTGTGTGTTTGCTTGCACGCTTGATTGCTTGTTTACATTTGCGCTTGCTTGTTTACCTGTTTGCTTAGTTGTTTTAAAGCTGCTGTCTTGCTTGTTTTATTCGTTTGCTTGCTACTGCTTGATGACTTGCTTGATTGTTTGCTCGCTTGCTTGACTGTGTGCTTGCGTACAAAATCAATAGAAACTGTTCTGTGTGTGTGTGTGTGCGCGAGTGTGTTTTTGCACTTCTGGCTGTGTGGAATGACACGTTCCCACTCAGCTACACAATGGGCTCAGGCTTGAAATGCCCTGGCTTTGACGGCGGTTGCGCAATGGGTTGATTCTTTCTATGATCTCTATACACCTGCTACAGTGATTGAGAGATTCGGATCTGAATGATTGAGAAGGCGACCAGTAATTCCGACCTAACTGCATGACGTGAAACTTACGTGCCGTTAGGGCACTGGAAGCTTAAGTCTTCAGTGCTTTGACGGAGCCCACTTGCATCCAGAAAGGCCTTCGGAGAAGTATGAAACCGTTCCGACCACCGACTTTTAACAGAGAAATTGCACTTTGGGACGACTAGAGTAGGCAGTTGAAGAGACGTGTAGTAGGGCTGCAAGCTGGGTTCATGACCTTCTTCCTCACGACCGCCATGCTCATCATCGTCCACATTATTGCAAGTCATCGTCCACACCACCAGACTCATCATCACATCATCATCGTCACTCTCTAGCAGGTTCGGGCTCTTTGCTTGGAAACCAGTTCACCCCTGTTGGGGGCTGTTGTCAATCCTTGGACGGTTCTGGCTTCGTGGGCAACAAGTCTTTCGGCTTTTTCCGTCGCCTTCTGCACATGTGTGCGCCATGTACGTCAACTTGGCCGAACCATGGGCAGGGTGCTGGGTAATTTGCATCATTCGGAATGATGTACAGTACCCCACACCCTGAATCATTCGTTTAAGGGCTTTGTGTTTTCCGCCATCACTCACTCGCTTGCGGTTTTGGGTTGCAATCGATCATTCTGGGTTTCTTGTAACCAGTCACTCTTTTTTGAGGCTTGGGTTTTTTCTGCTCCTGCTCCTGCTCCTGCTCCTGCTCCTGCTCCTGCTCCTGCTCCTGCTCCTGCTCTGCTACTGCTACTGCTACTGCTGCTGCTGCTGCTACTGCTACTGCTACTGCTACTGCTACTGCTACTGCTACTGCTTCTACTATTACTACCACTACCACTACCACTACCACTATTACTACTACTAACTACTAATTACTACTACTACTACTACTACTACTACTACTACTACTATCTCAAACATGGCGCGCGACAGTGAGGGCGAAAGTTCCGCGAAAGGAAAACAATAATCCGCGAAGAAACCAGTTCCAGAAACATGAATATTGATCAATGCTCATATACATATACATATACACACGCAAACATATGTTGTCA